CTTGATGTCATCTGCCGTCCCACTTTCTTATGTAGAGGGTTCGTGTCGTCTACGCTGACTCGCAGAAAGGCTTGGACTTGTGCCAGTTTGTGCCTCTCGTCTGCACATGGGAAGTCTAGGAAGTATCTCATTGCTTCCGTTGAGGTATCTCGTGTGCACCCCAGGATTGCCCTCATTCCTTCATTTTGAGTCGTTGCAGTTGCGCCTTTGATAGGGTCAAGAGTCCTAGCCCGTACTCTACAACAGAGAGTACCAGTGTCTGGTAGAGGATGACAAGGATTTTCTGGCTCATCTTTGCTCTGGCCATCAGCTTAAGGCAGGGCTGTTAGGCCTTTTCTCGCCCTGGAGATTGTTCTCGTGATGTGATCTTTGCCAGTGAGGGTGCGATCAAACGTGATGCCCAAGTACTTCAGTGTGGGTTCCCCCTTCAGCACTTTGCCTCCAATCGAGATACTTGGCATGTCATTGTGCACTGCATGGTTATTCAGTGTACACCACAATGCGCAGGATTTGTCTGGGTGCAGTTTCCCGTTGTACGCCTCACACCACTGTTCAAGTCTGTCGAGTTATTCCTGTACTCTCTCCGCTGTAACCTGGCGGTTCTTGCCCTGCCTGTACACCAGCACATCATCAGCAAAACTGAGTACACGTACACGTCCGGGCTCCTCCAGCTGGCTGGAAGTAATCCCTATTGTATAAACGTTGAACAGAACGTGCGCGAGAGTAATCCCTATTGTATAAACGTTGAACAGAACTGGCGCGAGAGTAATCCCTATTGTATAAACGTTGAACAGAACTGGCGCGAGAGTAATCCCTATTGTATAAACGTTGAACAGAACTGGCGCGAGAGTAATCCCTATTGTATAAACGTTGAACAGAACTGGCGCGAGAGTAATCCCTATTGTATAAACGTTGAACAGAACTGGCGCGAGAGTAATCCCTATTGTATAAACGTTGAACAGAACTGGCGCGAGAGTAATCCCTATTGTATAAACGTTGAACAGAACTGGCGCGAGTGCATGTCCCTGTGGTAAGCCTGGTGCGATCTCGATAGGTTGCGAAGCCCAGCAACCAAGACGTAGTGCTACCTTTCGTTTGAGCCGCGCTGCCCCAATCCATTGTACTATATATACTACTATTTATTAGTTATAGTCCTCATAAAGGTGTCGTACTGAACTCGGTTGTAGGCATCTTCCAGGTCAAGTGCTGCTACCAGAGTTTCTTCCCCCCGTTCGAAGCCAGGTCGGATGCAAGAGCAGCAGCATTCATCCATGTGATCTTTCCGCTTCTATAGCTGCCCAGTTCCGGCGGTAGGACGTTCTTTTCCTCCAGCTCAATTGCCAATCTGCGTGCCACGATTTTCTCCAGCAGCTTCCCGATGGTATTTTGAATGGTCACTATGCGATATGAGACAATCTTGCTTGGGTCCTTGTCTGGCTTAGGAACTGGGGAAAGGTGACTATCCAGCCAGTCTTCAGGTATCTCCCCAGTCCACAGGCTTTCGTTTAGCCTCTCAGCTAGTGCCATTGTCTGTCCTTCCTCCATGTTCTTCATGTGGCCATAACGTACTCCGTCAGGACCAGGAGAAGTGTTGGATGCTTCCTGGATATATTTATGTAACATTTCGTGTGTCACAAATTGCAGGCAGGGTTCATCTTTGTAGTCCTGTTGGATCCTGTTGAGCAGCTGTTTTCTCTTATCCTCGTCTTTCCTGTCAGTTTGTCTAAGGTATCTCCTAAATAGATCACCGCCTTTAGCTTTATCAGTGCGCATCCACAAATCATCCTTTCGTTGGAAATCAGGGATATCTTGTTCACTCTTCCTATTAGTCATGCACCTGTAGAAGTTCCAGAACTGATACAGGGCCCTATCACTGTTCACGCCCCGGCAGAAGTTGTCACATTGGTCCGAGAGCCGGGTCTATATAAAGTACTAGAACCTTGTTTTTCATCATTAAGTTTTTTTCTTTGGTGATTCTGCTTCCTCGGGGTCTCTAGACTTCATATCAGTCGGGGGCCAACTTGTATCTTATGGGCGTAATTTTTTCTGCTGGTTGAAATACCCAACCCGTATCATGCAAGAATGATGAAGGAGCGACTAGGGCTGGGCAATGAGTCGCTTTACCAAAATCCGGATAATGTGTTAGTACACCTCTTCGGCAAATGCTATGTTATGAACCGCTTCGGCAAAATCTCTTAGATAAAAGGGTTAGCATTACTTCATCAACAAATGGGTACACTCACTTCGGCAAACGGGTCAGGAGAGAGAGTTTAGAGTCTGAATTCAGATAATATTTCATTGAAAATTATCCGGTTATCCGGATAGTTTATCCGGATTTTGCCCACCTATACCATGTACGAGTCGACCAAGATTCGCACGAGGGTATTAGATCTAGGCCTAACGCTAACAGCTCCTCTCGCCGTGATGTCACACGATGCACCGAAAGGTGCACAGCACAGCCTGCTGTAATAATATGGACTCAACTAGCAAAGCAAGAAGACATTGGCGGACCGTGCTTCGTCACACCACACCTCCGTAGAAACAAAGAATGTAAGAAAACGCTACGTCACCACGAGGACGTGATGCGAACAGGCTGGTTCATGCAACATGCACATGCACACACACAGTGTCTCACTCAATTACTTTTAAACACATACTGATGCGATAAAGAACCCACCGTTGCTCAAATCGACACGGATCAGTGGTCTACTGGAAGCAAGCCGGCAACGAGATGATGGACTCAATCAGAGACTTCCAGAAGATGCTGAGTTTATAGTTTATACTGTGTCACAATAACTATATGAGCACACATTGTTCCAGAGGCCATATTAAGCGATTTTTACTAAAGCAAAAGACTAAGGAACTTTCTGAAGAACTCAAACGTCATAGGGGT